ATTTACATTTGGAAGAAAATGGGCTTATTAGCGAGGGGGGACCTGAGTGAGGTCTGCAAAATCATGAGAGGTATAGACAGGGTGGATAGCAAGAAGTTTTTTCCCCAGAGTGGGGGACTCAATTACTCGGGGTCACGATTTCAAGGTGAAAAGGGAAAAGTTTAAGGGAGATAAGCGTGGAAAGTTCTTTACGCAGAGGGTGGTGGGTGCCTGGAACGCGTTGCCAGCGGAAGTGGTAGAGGCAGACACGATAGCGTCATTTAAGACGTATCTAGACAGACACATGAATGGGCAGGGAAGGAGAGGGATACAGATCCTAGGAAAACAGGCGACAAGTTTAGAGAGAGGATCTGGATCGGCGCAGGCTTGGAGGGCCGAAGGGCCTGTTCCTGTGTTCTAATTTTCTTTGTTCTTTTGTTCTTTCTAAACTCCATCGAGTATATACCCAGAGTCCTCAGATGCTCCTCATATGTTAAGCCTTTCATTCCCGGGATCATTCTTGTGAATTTCCTCTGGACTCAGACCACACCTAGCACATCCTTCCTGAGGTATGGGGCTCAAACTTCCTCACAGTACTCTCAATGTGGTCTGACCAAAACTTTACAAAGCCTCAGAAGTGCATCCCTGCTTTTATATTCTAGTCCTCTTGAGATAAATGCCAACATTGCATTTGCCTTCCTAACTGCAGACTCAACTTTACCATGTATGTGCAATCCCTTTACACATCCATTCCCCACCAGGAGGGTCTTAGGGCACTCCGCTTCTTCCTGGAGCAAAGACCTGAACCATCCCCACCCACCATCACCCTCCTCTGCTTCGTTGAGCTTGTCCTCACCCTCAACAACTTCTCTTTCAACTCCTCTCATTTTCTTCAGGTAAGAGGGGTTGCCATGGGTACCTGCATGGGCCCTAGATACGCCTATTTCTTCGTGGGGTACGTGGAAAATTCCTTGTTCCAGTCCTATTCCGGCCCCCACTCACAACTCTTTCTCCAATACATCAACGATATCATCGGTGCTGCTTCCCTCTCTCGTCGAGAATTGGAAAACTTCCTCAATTTCGCCTCCAATTTCCACCCTGCCCTCACTTTCACCTGGTCTATCTTTGACTCCTCCCTTCCCTTCCTCGACATTTCTTGTTCCATTTCTGGGGACAGACTGGCCACTAATATCCATTATAAACCCAGTGACTCCCACAGCTACCTGGACTCACACCCCACTTCCTGTAAAGACTCCAAACAATTCTCTCAGTTCCTCCATCTCCGTCGCATATGTTCAGATGAGGCCAACTTTGACAAGGGAGCCTCCGAAATGTCCACATTCTTCCTCAACCGAGGATTCCCCAGCTCCGTTGTCGACAGGGCCCTCAATCGGGTCCGACCCATCTCCCGCACTTCTGCCCTCACCCCTTCTCTCCCCCTCTCCCTATTTATTTCAGAACCCCCTTCCCCTCCCCCATTTCTGAAGAAGGGTCTAGGCCCGAAACGTCAGCCTTCCTGCTCCTCTGATGCTGCTTGGCCTGCTGCGTTCATCCAGCTCTACACCCTGTTATCTCAGATTCTCCAGCATCTGCAGTTCCTACTATCCCCAGAAGGACACTTTTTTTGCCACTCCCTCGTTGTCTGGCAGAAAGCAATCTTCAATCCATGCTGGTACCTTGCCTCTAACATCATAGGCCCTTATTTTACTCAACAGCCTCTTGTGCAGCACCTTATCAAAGGCTTTCTCCAAGTCCAGGTAGATAACATCCATTAGACCAAGGGGAACCAATCTGCTGGTTACCACCTCAAAGATTCTAACAGATATGTCAAGCATGATGAAACCATGCTGACTTTGCCCTGTTTTACCATGTACCTCCAAGTATTGAGATATCTCATCATTCACAATGGACTTCAAAATCTTCCCAACGACAGAAGTCAGGCTAATCAACCTATAACTTCCTGTCTTTTGCCTTACTCCCTTCTTAAACAGTGGGTTTAAATTAACGATTTTCCAGCCCTTTGGGACTCTCCCTCCCCCTTGAGTCAGACATGTTTCCAGCTGTCTCTAAGTTCCAACTAGGTCTGAGATGTGGAAACTGCTCCAACAACTGGGAACAACTCCTTTATCTTTCAGCTACAGCCTGTTAAACATCTCAATACTATCAATACAACTGTGCTTAATGCTGCTTTAAACTACCTTCACAGTTCCCTCTAAACATCTTCTCTCCTCCCAACAGTTTCAGTGAGCTGCCTTCATGAATCACTGCAGTCGGGACTTTTACTCAGCCACACGGAAGGAACAGTGACATAATTCCAAGTCAGGATGGTGAGTGGCTTGGAGAGGAACTTAGGGGTAGGTGATGGCCCAGTGGTATTATCACTGGACTGTTAATCCAGAGACCCAGACAATGTTCTGGGGATCTGGGTTCAAATCCCACCACAGCAGACGGTGGAGCTTGAATTCAATAAAATAGCTGGAATTAATGATGACCATTAATCCATTGCCAATTGTCGGAAAAACCCACCTGATTCACTCATGTCCTTTAGGGAAGGAAACTGCCATCTTTACCTGGTCTGGCCTACATGTGATTCCAGACCCACAGCAATGTGGTTGACTCTTCACTGCCCTCTGGGCAATTAGGGATGGGCAATAAATGCTGCCTAGCCAGCGATGCCTTCATCCTGTGAACGAATTTTAAAAAGAAAACTTGCAACCGAAGGTGTTCCCATGTATCTGCTCCCCATGGTCTTTGAGATGTAAATCGTTGTCAGTTTCAAAGGTGCTGTCCATCAAGTCTTGTTGAAATTCTGCAGGACATCTCAACCTAAGAACTAGGAGCAGGAATAAGAAATTCAGCCCCTCAGGTCTGCTTCATCATTTCATACAATCACTGTGATCTCATTGCAGTCTCAACACTTTCCTGTGAGCTTCCCATAACCTGTTAACCTGTTACTTATGAAAAATCAGTTTAATTCCTCCTGAAATGTATTCAGTGTTTTAGCAGCTTGCTTCATTGGCACCACACCCACAAGCATCCAATCCTTCCACTACCGATGCTTAGCACATGCCGCTGCTACATACCTACAGCCACTTCCATCTCGAAGGACAAGAGCAGCAGATATATGGGAACACCACCGCTTGCAAGTTCCCTGCAAATCACTAACCATCCTGACTTGAAAATATATTCCGATTCCTTCGCTCACTAGGTTAAATTCCTGGAATTCTCTCCCTAAGGGCTTGTGGATTGCAGCAATTCACCACCAGCTTCTCAAAGGCAACTAGAGATGGGCAATAAAATGTTAGCCCAGCGAGCTATGCGCACATCCCACAAGTAAAGGAAAAAAAGTCCACTGCCCTCTAGGATAGTGCAGGAACTGAATGTTTGTGGATGTTGTGCCAATTAAGCTTGGTCCTGTATGATGTCAGCATTTGAGGGTTGTTGAAGATGCACTCATCCAGGCAAAGTGTAAAACATTCCACCACACTTGCGCCATTTTTTTAAAAATATAAATTCACTGGTGAAACATGAGCATCACCGGCTGGCCAGCATCTATTGCCTGTTCCTACCTGCCCTTGAACTGAGTCGTTTATTAGGCCATTTCAGAGGGCAGTTGACAGTCAACTATATTGCAATTGGCCTGGATTCACATGCAGGCCAGACAAGATAAGGATAGCAGATTTCTTTCCCTGAAGGACATTTGTAAGCCAGATGGGGTTTCCCGGACAATCAGCAATGCTTTCTGTCCACAGATGTTGAGTTTTTCCAGCAATTTCTGCTTATGTCTCCGAAATCCAGCGTCTGCAGTTCTTTCAATTTGTTTACCATCTTATCCACTGGTGTTGCCACTTTCAGGGAGTTATGGACTTGCATTCCAAGACCCCTCTGTATATAAATACTCCCAAGGATTGTGTCATTTACTGTATACTTTCCTCTTGCATTTGACCTCCCAAAATACATCACCTCACATTTGTCTGGATTAAACTCCATCTATATCAAAGCTATCCTTTGATACGAAACTCTAGCAATTTTTGCACCATCTGCAAGCTTACTAATCAGACCACATAGAACACAGAATTGTACAGCACAGGAACGAGCACTTAGGCCCATGACGGTGTGCAGAACATGACGCCAAATGAAACTAATCCCTTCTGCCTGCCCTTGGTCCATATCCCTCCATTCCTTGCATAGTCGTGTGCTTATCCAAAAGTCCCTTAAATGCCCCTATTGCATCTGCCTCCACCACCACCCATGGCAGTGTGTTCCATACTCCTACCACACTGTGTAATAAAGACTTGCCCCTCACATCTTTGAACTTTCCCACTCTGAAATCCAAATAAACAACATCTAATGCTCAGCCATCAACCACCTTTTGGGTAACTTCCTCAAAAAGCTGAATCAAGTTTGACAGATATGATTTTCCTCACACAAAACCATGCTGACAATCCCTAATCAATATTTGCCTCTATCAAAGATAGGATTGATGTTCATTTAGAATCACTTCCAACAAATTGCCCATAACTAAACTCAGCCTCACAGGTCTATAGTTCCCTGGTTTCTCCTTACAATCTATCTTAAACAAAGGTACAACATTAGCCACCCTCCAGTCATCAGGCACCTCTCCCGTAGTTATACATGATGCAAATATTTCTGCAAGGGGTCTCATAATTTCCTCTGTTATTTCCCACAATATTCTGGGATACATAAAATCAGATATTTACCCATCTTTACATTCTCTAAGACCTCTCAAACTTCCTCTTGTGTAACGTGAACTATTTTTAAACTAAAGTTTATTTCTCTGCATTCTCTAGACTCCATTTCATTCTCCACAGTAAAAACTGACGCGAAATAATCATTTAGTATCTCCCATCTCCTGGGGTTTAACACATATCTTCAGTCTCGCTGCTTAACCCTGTAATTAATGCACGGGAGCAACAGAAGAACTGCACAGAAAGATGTCTGAAACATTATTTCTAAAAGACAAATCTCTACAACACAATACTATCAGAGTAACTGCTTACCAGAGAAACGTGGACAGCTCCCAGAAGCTGCCAGAGATCACAGGCAGTGTTAATTCCAACCAGAAGGATCACAAAAATTCCAACAAACTTTACCCCAAGTGCTCCAGCAAGATTAACTCCGGTCAGCATTAACCACTTCCACCAAGTTAGAGAAAAAGGCCTAGCAAAAAGAGAACAAATATGAAAAATGAATATTAGAAGAGATTAATTTTATTCCTTGATCCAAATAACGCATAATACACACACCCCACAGGACAGCACACCTTAAACTTCAGAGCAAAACTACCCATCAACAGCTATTAATTTCTTGAACCAAAGTGTAATGCACAGAAGGAGGCCATTTAGCCTATTATGCTCATACTAACTCTTTGAAAGAGCTATCCAATTAGTCTCATAGCACTGCCTTTTCCTCATAGTCCAGTAGATTCTTCCCCTTCAAATATTCATTCAATGCCCTTTCAAATATTAATAATCCATCAGCTGCTATCAGCCCTTCAAACAGCACATGCTCAATGTCAGAAGATAAAAATACAAAGACAGCCAAATACATGAGATAAAATCTAACACCGAAAAATTGATAGTGATACATTGTGGTAAGGATAATAGGACAGGCAACATAATCCACATGATACTGTTTAGAAAAAACAGAAAACAAATCTTTAAAAAAAGGTCAGAGTCATCACGACTCAAAGAGGCCATTCAGCTCATTGAGTCTATGCAATCTCTGTAAACCTATGCAGTCAGTCTTATTCTTCTACTCCATTCCCATAAACCTTGGGAGTTTATTTCAAGTTGGCATTTTATAATTGGTAAAGGGCCAGGGATTCAGCTGTAGGGCTCCTGTGATGCAGTGATAGCACCCCTACCTCTGAGCCAAGAGGCCAAAGTTCAAGTCCCACTTGCTCCAGAGGTGTGAACAAACATTTCTGAACAGATTGAATTAAAAAAAAATGAAGTGACAACAGTAATATATTCACAGCTGCTAATGATACAAAGCTTCGGGAGAATGAAAACTGGGAGGACACAAAGGTGTTGTAGGAGAAGCGGGTTCGAATTCATGGGACATTGTCACCAGGAATGGGGAAGCTGTTCCAATGGGACTGGCTCCACTAGAATCATCCTGGGCTAGAGTCCTGGCGAATCACACAAAAAGGCTGTGGATAAGCCTTTAAAGTAAACAGTAGGGGGTTCAGTTGTATGGAAATTATGGGAAGAGTTAGAGGGGCAGGAGGGCTTGGCAGAGGTTATTAGAGTTTCCAGAATAGGTAATAGGACACAGAGTATGGAAGGTCTCCGGAATCTAACCTCAAGCACAGCAGATAAAGGGATAACTATGAGCAGAGGAGCAAAGAATGTAGGACTGAGTGTTGTACTTAAATGCATATAGTACACAACATAAGGTAAATGAACTTATATCACAGATTGAAATTGGTGGGTACAATGTTGTGAGAATCAGAGATGTGGCTGCAAAGGGCTGCGAACTTAATATTCAAGGATACATATCCTATCGAGAGGACAGACAGATGGGCGGGGAGGAGTTGCCTTATTAGTAAGGAATGAAAGCAGTAGCAAAAAGTAACAGAGTTGCAAGGCAGAGAATCTGTGTGGGCAGATTGGAGGAACTGTAAAGGAAAAAAGACCCTGATCGGAGTTATGTACAGACCTCCTGTCAGAATGTGGGGAAGAAAATAAATCAGAAGATAGAAAAGGCATGATTACAACAAACAAAGGGGGCTTCAATATGCAGGTGGACTGAGAAAGTCAGGTTAGTAGTGGATCTCTTTAAAAAAGAAAAGAATTTGTGGAACATCTACGAAATTTTTTTTGTAGCATCTCGAGGTAGAGGCCACTATGGAACAGGCAAATCTGGATTTGGTGATATGTAATGAGGCAGATTTGATTAGGGAGCTTAAGGTGAAGGAACTTCTAGGGGTCAGGGACCATAATATGATAAAATTGACCCTGCAGTTTGAGGGGGAGAAGCTGGAATCAGATGTTATAGCATTAACGGGGTGTAAAGGTAACTACAAAAACATGAGGAAGAAGCTAGCCAGAGGTAATTGGAAGGGACCCTAGCAGGGCAGCCAGAATAAAAGCAATGGCAGGGGTTATTGAGTCATACAGAATGAAAACAGACCCTTCCGCCCAACTCATCAATACCGACCATGTTTCCTAAACTGAATTAGTCCTATATACCTGTACCTGTCCAAATGTCTTTTAAATGTTGTAATTGTACTCGCCTCCATCACATCCTCTAGCAGTTCATTCCATACAAGCACCACCGTGTTTGAAATTGTTGCCCCTCAGTTCTCTCAAATATTTCCCCTCTCACCTTAAACCTATGCTCTCTAGTTTTGAAATCCCCTACCCTGGGAAAAAAACTTCGGCTACTCACCTTATCAATGCCTCTCATGATTTTATAAAACTCTAACATCACCCCTCAGCCTCCGACACTCAAGAGAAGAGAGTCCTGGCCTATCGTGCCTCTGCTTATAACTCAAATCCTCTGGTCTCTGCAATTTCCTTGTAAATCTTTTCTGCACCTTGCCAATTTAAGAACATCTTTCCCATAGCAGGGCAACCAGAATTGTACGCAGTACTCCAAATGTGGCCTCACCAATGACCTGCACAGCTGCAACATGACCTCCCAATTCCTGTACTCAGTGCTCTTACCAATGAAGGCAAGCATGCCAAACGCCTTCTTCACCATCCTGTCTACCTGTGACATTACTTTCAAGGAGACATGAACCTATAACCTAGGTTTCAGTGTTCGGCAACACTCCCCAGGCCTTTACCATTCACTGTCTAAGTCCTGCCCTAATTTATATTACTAAAACACAACACTTTGCATTTATCTAAATTAAACTCCATCTGCCATTCTTCAGGCCACTGGCTTGGTTAATCAAGATCCTGTTGTATCTTAGAAATCTTCTTCAATGTCTATGATACTACCAATTTTGGTATCATCCGCAAACTTACTAACCATGCCTCGTATGTTCTCATTCAAATCGTTCATATAAATGACAGGCAACACTGGATCCCAGCACCGATCCTTGTGGCACACCACTGGTCAGGATGCACAGCAGAAATTCATTCCAAGGAAGGAAAAACATACGAAAAGGAGGACAAGGCAACCATGGCTGACAAGTGAAGTCAGAGACAGCATAAAAGCAAAAGAGAAAGTACATCATGTGGCAAAGATTAGTGGGAATCCACAGGATTGAGGAGCCTTTGAAAACGAGCAGAGGACAACTAAAAAAGCAATATGGGGCAGAAGATGAAATATTTGGTTAAGCTAGCTAGTCATATAAAAGAAGATCGTAAGTTTTTTTTAAAAGATGTAAAAGGTAAGAGAAAGGTAAGAGTGGACATCGGACCACTGGAAAATGAGGCTGCAGAAGTAGTCACGGAAAACAAAAAATGGTGGAAGAACTGAACAGGTACTTTGCATCAATCTTTACAGTGGAAGACACCAATAGCATACCAGAGCTTCAGAAGAGTTGGAATAGAGGTGTGTAGTGGCTATCACTAAAGGAGAAGTGCTGGGGAAACTGAAAGGTCTCAAGGTGGTTAAATAACCCTTCTCTAACTGGATTCTTGACTTTCTGAACAATAGACCACAGCCAGTAAGGATAGACAACAACACTTCCTCCACAATAATCCTCAACACTGGCACCCCGCAAGGCTGCGTACTCAGCTCCCTACTATACTCCTTCAACACACATGACTGTGTGGCCAAATTCTGTACTAACTCCATTTATAAATTTACTGATGACACCACTGTTGTAGGTCGGATTTCAAACAACGACGAGGCAGAATACAGGAAGGAAATAGAGCGCTCAACGGCATGGTGTAAAGACAACAATCTCTCCCTCAAAGACAGCAAAACGAAGGAGATGGTCATTGACTTCGGGAAGTGGAGTGGAGGGCACGCCACTGTCTGTATCAATGGCGCTGAGGTAGAGGTGGTCGAGAACATTACGTCCCTGGGAGTGATTATCACCAACAAGCTGTCCTGGTTACCCACCTTGACAGTATGGTCAAGAAAGCACTACAACATCTCTACTTCCTCAGGAGTCTAAGGAAATTCAGCATGTCCACAAGCATTCCCACCAAATTTTATAAATGCACCACAGAAAGCATCCTATTTGGATGAATCACAGCATGGTACAACAACTGCTCTTCCCAACACTGAAAGAAACTACAAAGAGTTGTTAACGCAGCACAGTCCATCACGCAAACCAGCCTCCCATCCATTGACTTCATCTCTACTTCCCAATGCATTGGGAAAGCAACCAACATAATCATTTAAAAGGTATCTGAATGGGTACATGAATAGGAAGTGTTTAACATAGAAACATAGAAGATTGGAGCAGGAGGAGGCCATTTGGCCCTTTGAGCCCGCTCTGCCATTCTTCACAATCATGGCTGATCATCCAACTCAATAACCTAATCCTGCTTTTTTTCCCATAACCTTTGATCCCATTTGCCCCAAGTGCTATATCCAGTCGCCTCCTCCTAGTTGAGAGAGATATGGGCCAAACGCTGGCAAAATGGGACTAGACTAATTTAGGATACCTGGTCGGCATGGACGAGTTGGACTGAAGGGTCTATTTCCATTCTGTATAGCTCTATAATTCTAAAGAGCCCTTTCAACCCGGTTATACTCATTCTATCCTCTTCCGCTGGGCAGAAGATACAAAAGTTTGTATACACGTACGAACAGATTCAAGAACAGCTTCTTCCCTACTGGTATCAGACTTATGAATGGGCCTCTTTAATGTTAATGCTGATCTCTCTCGGCACCTTTTTGGTAGCTTTAACATTGTATCCTGCGCTCTGTTCTGTTACCCTAATGCACTTGTATAGTACGGTCTGCCTAAGACAACATTTTTCACTGTACCTCAGGAGACGTGACAGTAATAAATCATAACAAACCAGAAGCACTACACTTAACAGTTCTGAAGGAGACATCTAAGGAAATTTGTCAGGAATCACTGGAGTCAGGGAGGGTCCGAGAGGACTTTAGAAAAATTATTTGTCCAGAGGATGTGCGTGTCTCTGGCTCAGCAGCATGTCTTGCCCATCCAGGGCTGAGTCAGCATGGCTTTGTAAAGGGAAGGTCATGATTGAGGAGGTAATGAGCAAGTTAGATAAAGGAAAGCCAGTGGATGTAATGTAATTGGATTCCCAGAAGACATTTACAAGGTGCTACACAGGTACTGGGGCAAGGTACTGGCGTCAGAGAGAGGGGTCTGGTTGACCAGGATGCAGATAATAGGGATAAAGCAATCTTTTTCAGGATGGTAGCCAGTAACTAGTGGAATTCCACAATGGTCAGCATTGGGACCACAACTCTTCATATTATATATTAACAATGTGGACAAAGGAACCAAGGGCATTGTTGCTAAGTTTCAGATGACACAAAGATAGGTAGAGAAACAGTGTTTAGGAAGCAGGGAAGCTACAGAAGGACTTCGACAGGTTGGAGAGTGGGCAAAGAAGTGGCCAATGGAATACAATGTGGGAAAGTATGAAGTTACACACTTTGGTGGAAAGAATAGAGGTGGACGCCATTTTTTATCATGTGGAAAGGCTTTGGAAATCAAGGTTAATACACAGGTTTATCTGATAGTTAGGAAGTCAAATGCAATGGCAGCATTCATTTCAAGAGGGCTAGAACTCAGACTGAAGGGACAACCCTTTAGAACTGAGATGAGGAGGAGTTTCTTCAGCCAGAGGTTGGCAAATCTGTGGAACTTGTTGCCGTAGAAGGGAAGGGCTATTGAGGTAAAGTCATTGAACAGCTTTCAAGACAGAGAAAGGTAAGTTCTCTGTTCTGAGGAAGAGTCACCCAACCCAAAACGTTAACTCTGATTTCTCTTCACAGATGCTGCCAGACCTACTGAGCTTTTCCAGCAACTTCCGTTTTTGTTTTACAGCATCCACAGTTCTTTCAGTTTTTATTAAAAATAGGTTCTTGATTAGTGAAGCGAGCAAAGGTTACACAGAAAGGTTTCTCAACCCATTCTCCTGCATTTCAGCCATGATTGAATGGCAGAGCAGACCTGATGGACCAAATGGCCTAATTTTGCTCCTTTATCTTATGGTCGTACGGGGCCAAGTCTGATGTTATTTACCAAATAGATACAAGATGGGTGCACTGGCTGACAACGGAACTTTAGGGTGACTGTGTGTGAACAAGTATATGAAATGTACATGCACACAGTTCCAAGGTCTGACCATTGTTCAGTGCTGCGCAAAAGTCCGCACTGTGTCCGTGCATGGAAAATATGTGGGCTTGACACCGGACCAGAGAGGAGAGAATGGGGACAAGGGTCATGGGAAAAAGGTCAGCATGCGGGTGGAGTTACCTGCAAAGACTCCATTGCATTCTCCCAGTTTCTCAGTCTTGGTCACATCTCTTCAAATGATGTCACCTGCCAGTGGTGTTCCCAACATGTCTTTTGTTTTTGACTCAATATATAATGTCAAGGAGCCCTAGGAAAACTGGAATCAATGAAACTCAAGAGAAAAACATTGCACTGGCTGTGTGATAATAGAGGAAATCCGAATGAAGTGACTGTCTCGATTCCTTTGGTTTCTTTTCGATTAGATCACATCAGTGGAAGACCCTCTGTTGGATATTTGGTTAGATGTATGGGCTGTAAGATCTCATGATTAACTGTTTGGATTTCAAAAGTCTGACGAGCTCAGAGACACTGATTTGTGGATCCGAGTCCCAGAAAATAATTCACAGAGATCTTTCTTCAGCTGATGTCAGTTAGAGGTTATTACTTACTCAGACAGCAAGCGATAAAAATCATTGCCTCTGTCAAACCTCTCCAGAACTGAACAACTCAAAGATTTCACCTCACAAAGGAGCAGCACTCCGAAACCTTGTGTTGGACTATAACCTGGTGTAATATGACTTCTGACTTTGTCCACTCCAGTCCAACACCGGCACCTTTACATCATGACGCAAATTTGTAGCAAAGCAGAAACTAAAAGTCCAGCATTTGTTGCTGGACAGCATCAGGTCCCTTGCAAATCCCTTGAATAAGAAATAAGATAATGAAACAATCACTATCTCTCTTTTAACAGCTAATTTAGGCAAGTCTCCTGGCTTTTCTGGAAACAACAGACAATCCCCAATTCTTCTGCTCGTGACTTTTTCATTCCAGAGAAATCAACCAAAAAATTTGGTTTTCCAATTGTCACAACCCATAAGTGTGTTCCCAACAACTTATACCATTACCCCTTTGCTTGATGACCTGCAAAGCTTCCAGCACATCAAACCTCAATTCTCAAATTCTCAGCCTCTTACCTGTCTTTCACAGCATTGAACTTGAGCATGCTCAACACTGCTCCCAGAATAAAAAACATCAGAATTGGATCCAACAGGATATACTGCGAAATAGTAATACAGCCAGTATCTGCCAACAGAAATACACAATGAATCTTTCGAGTCATCACTGACCATGAACTGAACTGGACCTATATCAATACCGACCCCTTTGCAACAGGATCAGAGTCCAATATTTGGCATTGACTAACTCCCCAAAATCTGTCAACAAGCCTTAAATTCAGATTGTGACAGATTACTCAATAGTCACTTGGGTGGATGTAGCTACAAGTGAGGAAACTGTAACTCTCCTACAGGTCTCAATATGCAAGCCTTCCATCTTCACTTTTTGGCTACTTATAAACCTTCAGAATGTATTGCAATAATACAACAGTTAATTTGAATTATATATCAGCTTTAACATAGGAAAAAAAACTCAAAGCAGCCCATAAGAGTGTAATCAGGCTATTTAATGCTCAGACACAGTGAATGCTCTCAGAAATTATGACTAACAGTTTCAAAAACAGAAGCTAACTAACAGTTTGTTTAATTAATTTTACGTAGTCAAGTACTGAGAAGTATTAATAAATGAAGTACCCTTGTTATTGAATTACTAAGTAAATGCGATAGCGCCCAACTCAAAGACAACAGTTGCAAGTGAGTTTCTTCAGGATCATGCTTGATTCTCGTCGTCACTGAAATAGCTCCACACAGGCCAGTAGCCCACCACCAAGCCATCTATTTATTTACATGAATAATCTTTGACTTATAGCATTCTACAGTCAATCATGAGAGTGTCAGTATCTTTGACACTCACCCTTACACAGAACAGTATAGCACAGGAACAGACCCTTTGGCCAACAATGTTGTGCTGAATATGACACCAAATGAAACTAATCCCTTCTGCACGCCCTCGGTCTACATCACTCCATTTCTCACATATTCATGAGCTTATCTAAAAGTCTCTTAAATGTCTTTATCGTATCTGCCTCCATCACCATCCCTGGCAGCACAAATGCCTACCGCTCTGTGTAGAAAACTTGCCCCTCACATCTCCTTTGACTTTCGATGCATGCGCCCTCATATTAGACATTTCAACTCTGGGGGAAAAAAGATTCTGACCCTCAACCCTATCTATGCATATCATAATTTTGTAGACTTCTATCAAGTCTCCCCTCAGCCTCCACCGCTCAAGAGAAAACAACCAAGTTTTTGCAGCCTCTCCTTATACCTCATGCCCTCTAATCCAAGCAGCATTCTGATAAACCTTTTTTGCATTCTCTCCAAAGCCTCCACGTCCTTCGTGTAATTTGGCAACCAGAATTGAACACAATACTCTAAGTGTGGCCTAACCAAAGTCTTATAAAGCTGCAACATGACATCCTGAATCTTGTACTCAGTTAGACGACCAATAAAGGCAAGCATGCCATATGTCTTCTTTACCACCTTATCTACTTGTGCGGCCATTTTCGTGGAATTACGGACTTAAACCCCAAGATCCTTCCGTACATCAATGCTGTTCAGAGTCCTGCAATTATCTGTATACTTTTCATTAACACTTAGGATCACAGCTGTAGGAAGGGAGGTCGTTTATTGAATTAGTAGGGATGGAAGTCCGAAACAGGAAAGGAGCAGTCACTTTAGTGGGAGTTTTCTATAGAACCCCAATCACAACAGAAACACTGAGGAACAGATTGGGAGGCAGATTTTGGAAAGGTGCAGAAGGAATAATGAGGTGGGGGGGCGGGGGGGGAAGTGTTGGGTATTCTAAAAGCAATTAGGGTGGACAAGTCCCCAGGTCCAGATGGGATCTATCCCAGGTTTCTGAGGGAAGCGAGAGAGGAAATAGCTGGGGCCTTAACAGATATCTTTGCAGCATCCTTGAGCACAGGTGAGGTCCCGGAGGACTGGAGAATTGCTAATGTTGCCCCCTTGTTTAAGAAGGGTAGCAAGGATAATCCAGGAAATTATAGACCGGTGAGCCTGACGTCAGTGGTGGGGAAGCTGCTGGAGAAGGTACTGAGGGATAGGATCTATTCACATTTGGAAGAAAATGGGCTTATTAGTGATAGGCAGCATGGTTTTGTGCAGGGAAGGTCATGTCTAACCAACTTGATTGTCACTTCCTTAAAGAATTCTAAGTCGATAGATGAGGGAAGGGCTGTCGATGTCATATATATGGACTTCAGGAAGGCGTTTGATAAGGTTCCCCATGGTAGGCTGATGGAGAAAGTGAAGTCGCATGGGGTCCAGGGTGTACTAGCTAGATGGATAGAGAACTGGCTGGGCAACAGGAGACAGAGAGTTGTAGTGGAAGGGAGTTTCTCAAAATGGAGAACCGTGACCAGTGGTGTTCCACAGGAATCCGTGTTGGGACCACTGTTGTTTGTGATATCCATAAATGATCGGGAGGAAGGTATAGATGGTCTGATTAGCAAGTTCGCAGATGATACTAAGATTGGTAGAGTAGCAGATAGTGAAGGGGACTGTCGGAGAATGCAGCAGAATGTAGATAGATTGGAGAGTTGGGTGGAGAAATGGCAGATGGAGTTCAATCCAGGCAAATGAGAGGTGATGCATTTTGGAAGATCCAATTCAAGAGCGAGCTATACGGTAAATGGAAAATTGATACACAAAGAGATCTGGGTGTTCAGGTCCATTATACCCTGAAGGTGGCAACGCAGATGGATAGAGTGGTCAAGAAGGCATACGGCATGCTTTCATTCATCGGACAGGGTATTGAGTACAAGAGATGGCAGGTCATGTTACAGTTGCATAGGACTTTGGTTCGACCACATTTGGAATACTGCGTACAGTTCCAGTCGCCACATTACCAAAAGGATGTGGATGCTTTGGAGAGGGTGCAGAGGAGGTTCACCAGGATGTTGGAGGGTGGCAAATGTCATTCCCTTGTTCAAGAACGAGAAGAGGGATAACCATGGGAATTACAGATAAGTCAGTCTTACTTCCGTGGTGGGCAAATTGTTGGACAGGATTCTGAGAGACAGTATTTATGATTATTTGGAAAAGCACAGTTTGATTAGAGATAGTCAGCATGGCTTTGAGAGGGACAGATCATGCCTCACAACCTTAACGAATTCTTTGAGGATGTGACAAAACACATGGATGAAGGTAGAGCAGTGGCTGTGGTATATATGGATTTTAGCAAGGCATTTGATAAGGTTCCCCATGGTAGGTTCATTCAGAAAGTAAGGAGGCATGGGATTCAGGGAAATTTGGCAGTCTGGATACAAAACTGGCTGTCCAATAGAAGACAGAGCGTGGTAGTAGATGGAAAGTTTTAAGCCTGGAGCTCGGTGACCAGTGGTGTTCCACAGGGATCTATTCTGGGACCTCTGCTCTTTGTGATCTTTATAAATGACTTGGATGGGGAATTGGAAGGGTGAGTTAGTAGGTTTGCTGATAACACGAAGGTTGGTGGAGTTGGGATAGCATGGAGGGCTATTGTAGGTTGCAACAGGACATTGACAGGATGCAGAGCTGGGCAAAGAAGATGAAATTCAACCCAGAAAAGTGTGAAGTGATTTATTTTGGAAGGTCGAATTTGAATGCAGCACACAGGGTTAAATGGCAGGATTCCTGGGAATGTGGAGGAACAGAGGGATCTTGTGGTCCACATCCATAGACCCCTCAAAATTGCCACTCAAGTTGATAGGGTTGTTAAGAAGGCGTATGGTGTGTTGGCTTTCATTGGCAGGGGGATTGAGTTTAAGAGCTGCAAGCTTATGCTGCGGCTCTATAAAAATCTGGTTAGACCACACTTGGAATACCGGTTTCAGTTCTGGTTGCCTCATTATAGGCAGGATGTGGAAACTTTAGAGAGGGTGCAGAGGAGATTTACCAGGATGCTGCTTGGACTGGAGGGCAGCTCTTATGAGGAAAGGTCGAGGGAGCTAGGGCTTTTTTCATTGGAGCGAAGAAGGTTGAGAGGTGACTTGATAGAGGTATACAAGATAATGACAGGCATAGATGGAGTGGACAGCCAGAGACTTTTTCCCAGGGCAGAAATGATTATTATGATGGGTCATAATTTAAAGGCAATTGGGGGAAGGTATAGGGGAGATGTCAGAGGTAGGTTCTTCACACAGAGTGGTGGGCGTGTGGAATGCGCTGCCGGCAGTGGTAGTGGAGTCAGATACTTTACAGACTTTTAAGTGACTCTTGGATCGCCACATGGAGGATAGTAAAATGTAGGGTATGCAGGGTAGATTGATCTTTGTAGGATAATTGGTCGGCACAACATCGTGGCCAAAGGGCCTGTACTGAGCTGTACTGTTCTATGTTCTATGTTCATATCTGCAACTGATCTATATCCTGCTGTCTCCTTTGACAACCTTCTACACTATCCACAACTCCACCAATCTTTCTATCATCTGCAAACTTATGAAACCACCATCTACATTTTCATCTAAGTCACATAAGCATCACAAACAGTGGTCCCAGTACAGATCCCTGTGGAATACCACGACGCAGACCTCCAGCCTGAAAAACAACCTTCCACCACTACCCTCTGTCTTCCATTGGCAAGCCAATTCTGAATCCATGTGGTTAAGTCACCATGGATCCCACGCATCTTGATCTGCTGGATGAAACCACCATGAGGGACCTTGTCAAAAGGCTTCCTAAAATCCACTGCTCCACCCTCATCGATCACCTTTGTCACCTCCTCAAAAAATTCAATCAAGTTAGTTAGGCATGACCTGCCCTGCACAAAGCCATGCTGACTGATCCTAATTAGACTATGCTTTTCAAAATTTGGGTAAAATCTTATCCCTAAGAATTCTCTCCAACAACTTCCTAACCACCAACGTGAGACTCACTAGTCTATAGTTTCCTGGATTATCCCTATTTCCCTTCTTGAACAGAGGAAGGACATTAGCAACTCACCAGTCGTCCACGATCTTATCTATCAGCCAGGGCTCCCTGATTGGAGCAGATTAACAGCCTCAATCAGGGAACTCATTCGCTGAGGTCCAGCTGGCTGACTTCATTACAATCACTGCAGCCTCGATCCACAAAAGCAAGTACATCATACACCTTTTTTACCACCTTAGTCACTTAAGTTGCCACTTTCAGGGACTATGAACTTATATCCTAACATCCCTCTGTACATCAATGCTCCTAATGTCCTGCCATTTACTGTTTACTTTCCTCTTGCATTTGACCTCACAAAATGCATGACATCACACTTGTCCAGATCAAACTCCACCTGCCATTCTTCAACCCAACTTTCCAACTGATCTGTTTCCTGCTGTATCCTTGGATAACCTTCCTCATTGTCCACAACTCCACCATCTGTTCTTTGTCATCTGTAAACTTACTCGTTTGACCACCTATATTTCCATCCAAATCAGTTACATATATATTACAAACAACAGAGGTCCCAGCACTGATCCTCATGAGACATCATTGGTCACAGATCTCTGGTCAGAAAGAACCCCTCCACAACTACCCAGAGTTTTCTACGAGTAGGCCAATTTACCGACTCACTGTGGATCCCATGTGACTTAATCTTCTGCACCACCCTATCATGAGGGAACTTGTCAAATGTGTTTGTCGAGTTCATATAAACAACATCCACTGCCCTACCCGCAACAATCATCTCCGTCGCTACAAGAAAATTGGAGACAAGACCTCCCCACACAAAGCCATGTTGACTATCCCTAATAAGTCTGTTCTTTTCAAAATGCAAATAAATCCTGTCCCTAAGAAATTTCTCCAATAATTTCTTAACACTGATCTAAGGATTACAAGCAAAGGAACAACTTTGGCCATTCTCCATTCTTCTGGGACCTTGCTATGGCTAAAGGGGATACAAAGATCTTCGTCAAAGCCCCGGCAATCTCCTCCCTCAGTATTCTGGGATTGATCCCAATTGGCCCTGGGGACTCATCTCCCTTAATGCTTTTCAAGACACCTAGCAACTCATCCTTCTTAATATCAAGATGCCCCAGAGTACTAAAAACATCCCTCCCTAATCTTACCATCATCCACTTTTTTCTCCTTTAGTGAATACTGATGCAGTGTACTCAAAGGACCTCGCCCAATTTCTCTGCTTTTACGTATAAATTGCCTTCTTTGTGCTTAAGTGGCTCTACCCTTTCCCTCGCGACTCTCTTGCTCCTAATAGATGTATAAAATTCCTTGGCTTCTCCTTTATCTAATTTGGCAAGGATATTTCATGACCCCTTTTAGCCCTCCTAATTCCTTGTTTAAGTTCTTTCTGCTTCCTTTATATTCCTCAAGGGCTTTGTCTGATTTCTGTTTCCAAAATCTCACATGTTAACTTTCTCTTTTTGATAAACTTCCAATATCTCTTGTCTTCAAGGGTTCCCGAATCTTGCCTTCCTTATCTTGCATCCTCACAGGGAGATACTGGTCCTGAACTCCGATAACCTGGCCTTTGAAAGTCTCCCCTGTCAGATGTGAATTAACTGTCAAACAGCACCGCCAATCTAATTTCTCCAGTTCCTGCCTAATACTGTTACAATTAGCCTTACCCCATTTTAGCACTTTCATGCCTTATCCTTACCCATAACTTTCTTAAACCTACATTGTTCCCAAAATGCTCCCCCCATTGAAACTTCGTTCAGCTGGCCAGGCTCATTCTCCAATACAAAGTCTAGTACTGCCCCTTCCCTACTTGGGCAATCTACATCTTTTATCAACAGCCCTCCTGGATGCACCTAACAAATTCCGCACCATCTAAGTCCCTGGCATTAAGGGGAATCCCAGTCAATGTTGGGGAAATTAAAATCACCCACTACAACGTCAGCTTTCCTGATTCTGATGTTGCCTGGCCTGCTGTGTTCATCCAGCTCTACACCTCGTTATCTCAGATTCTCCAGTATTGGCAGTTCCTAATATCTCACTACAACAACCCTGTTGTTTTTACATTTTTCTATGATCTGCCTGCATATCTATACCTCTATCTCCTGTTGGCTTTAAGGGCACTGATCGTATAACCCCAGTGACTGCACCCTGCTTATTCCTGAGTTCTACTCATATGGCCTCACTGGATGAGCCCTCCAAGATGTCCTCTCCTTGTCACAGCTGTGACATTCTCTCAATCAGTAATGCAAGTTCCCTAGCCCTTTTACATACAACCGGCTAGTAAAAAAAGCAAAAGACCAGAGGAGTGGGAGCAGTTGAGTTCAGCAAAAGGAGGACAAAGGGATTGATTAAGAAAGGAAAAAATAGATTACGAGTGTAAGCTTGCAAGGAATATAAAAATTGGCCGTAAAAGTTTCTACAGATATGCAAAAAGAAAAAGATTAGTCAAGGTGAATGTAGTTCACGTATAGTCAGAAGCAGGTGAATTTATTAACTGGGAACAAAGAAATGGCTGACACACTAAATACATAGTTTGAATCTGTGTTCACAAAAGAGGACAACATGCCAGAAATGTAGGGGAACACAGGGTTTTGAGAGAGGGAGAAATTGAAGGAAATCAGTATTAGTTGCAAACTGGTGCTGGGGAAATTGACGGGATTGAATGTTGATAAATTCCCACAGCCTGATAACCTACACCCAAGAATACCTATGGAAGCGACCCCAAAAACATTGAATGCATTGGTGGTTATTTTCCAAGATTCTGTAGACTCTGGAACAGTTCCAACAGACTGGAGAGTCACTAATCTAATCCCTCTATTTGAAAATGGAGGCAGAGAGAACATTGGGAATTATAGGTCTGCCTGACATCGGTAGTGGGGAAAATGCTAGAGTTCATTATAAAAGAATTTCGTGACCCAGACAGCAGTGAGCCTGTGGAATTTACTAACGTAAAGCAGTTGAGGCCAAAATATTGTATGCTTTCAAGGAGTTGATATAGCACTTGAGACAACGCAGGGCGGGGGGAGAGGCAGGAATAGACTACCGAGTTGGTAATCAGCCATAGTCATAATGAATGGAGGACAGGCTTAAGGGCTGAACAGCCGACTCCCATACCTATTTACTAATATTTCTTAGTATTCTGATATACTCTATCTTGATTCAGCATGTAACTGAGCCTAAACTTTCTCAGCTTCAAATAACACCCCCTGGATTTATACCAAACACTTTTGGCCTGGGGCTTTTTAACTTATCTCCTTACACTGAGGTAAGATACTTTAAACAATTGGAGACAATTTTCTCACTTTCTCAGAAACAACTGCTTAACATATCAAGCTTTAGCTAAGAACCCTGCAGAAATGCCCAACTGAAATTAAAAAAGTCCCCCCACCCCAAACTATGGGTATATCCCCCACGAGAATTCTCTAATCTTCTGATTCTGTAATTTTAGGTTTTTACGGAATATTACGGCAAAAAAGAAGGTTATTGTGCTTGCACTGGTTCTCCCGTGCGAATCTCCTATCTTTTCCCCAACATTCCTGCATACCATTTCAATAGAAATAATCATCCAATGCCACACCTGAATATTTCAAATCAAACCTGCCTCCACCACCACTTTTGCAGGCAGTGCATTCCATACCTTAAACTACGTTCTGTTTGAAAGATTTTTTCTCACATTATCCTTGCTCCGTTTACACAAATGCAGTACACTGTTTATTTTGCATGTCATTAAACTCTCCCAAAGTGAATCCATTATTCTCCTGGAAGTCTTTTAAATCACCATGGCTGCAGAATCATCAAAAATTAATCATTAAACCCCCTCGGACACACAAAAAAGGTATATGTTGCTAGTTCAAATTAAAAAAATCTAAACTCAAAAGTAACTATAAAAACCTGTATAAATCACACAACCTACACGATACTGTCCAAATTCTTTTGCGAATCTGTTCCAAAACTGTTGCTGCATCTTCTATATGTAACAACAGTTAAAAAAAGACGAGTTAGGAACAATGAAGAACAACTATACTGAGCAAAACATCAAATGTACATAATTGATAAAGAATTCAAAAGGCAAATTCTGAGGTCTCTTCAGGGGACATTTTTGTAGCTTACATTTGACATGTCTTTTACTTGGAATACTCAATATGTCTGTAACAGTACACACTTCTGTCCAACCATGCCACATGGTTGTAGATTGTGCAGCACACTCCAATAATGTCAGTAACAAACTCACCAAAGATCAGGAGAACAGCAGCAAGTAGTGCAGCAGTGAGTGAACCAGACAGCTCCAATACGATGAGATATGCAAAAGGAACCAGGAAGGACCCAAGGGTTGCACAGAGCTGCAAATTTTGCGAGGAGGTATCACACAATACAAAAACAGAACAATTAGGGTGAGAAAAACACGACAAGACAGACAGCTAAGAACGAACAGCAATCAATGTATACATTTCAAGAGATTGCCCTCTCGTTCTAATAAAATTCAAATACATAGTATTCAGACAGCATATAAATGATCAGTGACTTCACTAGGTGTTGATCTTTTCATTGTTTGGGAGAGTAACAGTGCCGAGGCAATATCTCTGCACTATTAATCCAGAACGTTATTTTAGGGACACAGATAGTCTAATTTGAATGCAATAAAAATCTGCAATTACGAAGCTACCTTAATAGCAACCAATGTTATCAGATGGTTCAATTAGAACAGTGTAGTCTATAAGAAAAGCAATCACAGAGGTGGTTTGATATCCTATTCGCAAGCTAGAAGATTAAATTGATGAGGTTGATATCGTACCATTCTTTTTCTAAAACTGGGTTTGTTAAAAGGATACTGGCAGTACCATTGACAACAACGCCTAAGGAAATTTTCATTCTTACCATACCCAATAGATTATACAAATGTCAGATTACGCCATTTGAATTTCAGAACGCCCCAGCCACAAGTCAACAATAAATAAACGGAGTTATAGCCAAACTGCCGAATTGTGTAGTTTACTTTGAAGATATTGTAGTATATATTTACTCTGTGTTACTATACAGGACAATTCGAAAACTTGTCTAAACAATTACAGTTAGACAGGTTGGTGACGAATCTAGTAAAACATGAATTTGCGAAAGCAAAAAATGACATATTTGGGACAAATTGCAGGGCAAGGACATCCAGAACATCAAAACAGCAAGCTTTGATTGTCCTCCCCACCACTAAAACTAAACCAAATATAATGGGGTTTTAGGGAATGTGCAGATTTTATTGAAGGTTTGTAATTAATTTTAGTACAATAGCTGTACCCTCAACCAATTTGCTATGAAAACAGACAAACAGGGAACAGTTAACACAATGACAGGCAGCCCTTGAAAAGCTGAAAGCCATCTTAAACAAACCTGTATTTATTGCGTCAAGCTTTAACAAACCACTTAAACTACCAGTAGATGCTAGTGATTTTGGGGTTTGGGACATTTCTCTTATAGGATGACAAAGCTGGAATGGAGAAACCACAAAATTACCTTTCCAAGCAGCTGAGCGAACAAAAGAAAAAAAAATTCCACTATAGAAAAGGAGTCATTTGCAGCGTTGGCAGCTTGAACACTTTCAAGTTTGTAGATGTTGGTGCATTTGCCGAGCTGGGAAGTTAGACAGCAGACATTTCATCCCCTTACTAAGTGATATCCTCAGTGCTGTGGAACCTCCTGTGAAGCGCTGTTGTCTTGTGCTTGTTTGAATTTACATGGTCTGGTTTTTGCTGCTTCTGGTCTGTGCTGGTTCTGGCTGTGCATTGCAATGGTCTGTGTATTGGGTCTTGGAGGCTTGGCATTCATCCGCGGACTCCATCAACAAACACATTATCGGGTCTAATTCAATGTATTTGTTGATGGAGTCCGCGGATGAATGCCAAGCCACCAAGACCAGAAGAAGCAAAAACCAGACCATATAAATTTGAACCGGCACAAGAAAACAGTGCTTCACAGGAGGTTCCACAGCGCTGAGGACGTCACCCAGTAAGGAGACGAAACGCCTGCTATCAAACCTCCAAAGCTCAGCGAACGCGCCACCTGCAACCAGCACCCGAGCTACAAATCTTCACTCAAACCCCGAACTTTCAAGTTTGTTCAATATGTAAACAATGAGACCTTAGACCTTACTGATTATAATCCATTAACTATTATCAAGATACTATTTAAGACTGCAACTGAGAGATCATTTCGTTGGAATTTGTTATTGCAACCTTTCAGTGCAAAAATTGTACGTCAAGGAAAAAATGTAATTGCTGATGCTTTATCCTGATTGAACAGTTGAAAATTTAAGCATGTGCCCGAGAATATTGTACAGTGATAATAAATCTAATGGGAGAAACAATTGGATAGTTGTGAGCTGTTATGTTTGATGTTTAATTATTACTAATATTATCATGAAATACATTATTGAAATGGCACTCTTTTGAAGTTGGAGGCATGTTAAGACCATCACGGTGTTTCCTTTTATTTCTGTCATTTTTGGCTTGAATTGAATTGCAGTCGAGAACTGAACTCTGATCACCAGCTTCTTTTCAAAGTGGAAAGAATAAAAGACTGATGTTTGCAGTTAGGAATAGGCTTGGAAAGATTGAGCAATAACTCACCTGCCTAAGCTCATTGTAGATGATTCGGCACCAATATGTGTTTTTGCACAGGGACGGTCAGCTGGTTGGATGTCAAATGTGTCAATCAAGGGAGGAGCAGTGCTGACTAGCTAGCCACGCAGAATGTTGAAGAAAGAAAGAAAACAAGGTGAACTGGGATTTTTGGGCAGGACAGAGTTTTGTTTTAGGAGTTGCCACATTGGCAAGCTGATTTTGTGCTCTTATTTTCTCTAGTTCTCAAATTGTTGAAAAATTTGAGAAAAGAAACCTAGACTGTAAGAAATAAGTAACATCTCCAGAGGTCTTGCAGAACCTGTTTGTATTGACTGACGACTTCAGAGTTCAAGCAAGATGTACAGTCCTACATGCCTGTAATACAACAGATCATCAAAGAATTTCATGAAGGCCTGGTTTTCATTGTTGAAGCAGTTATCGGACTGGCAAATTGCAATCCTTGTATGTTGTACATTCCACTCTCTTAATTTGCAGCCAATTATCTGCCTTCCTATTTTTGCTATCGAAATGGATAACCTCACATTTGAGGTTGTAGACGTGCTCGCCAAGCTGGTGGATTTGGTTGCAAACGTTTCGTCACCCTGCTATGTAACATGGTCAGTGCGCCTCCAGTGAAGTGTTGGTGTTCTGTCACACATTTTAAAGCCTTTTCCATTTTGAAATATTCTACACCTCCAATGGGGCGGCACAGTGGCTCAGCGGTTAGCACTGCTGCCTCACAGCGCTGGGGACCGGGGTTCAATTCTACCCTCGGGTGACTGTCTGTGTGGAGTTTGCACATCCTCCCTGTGTCTGTGTGGGTTTCCTCCGGGTGCTCCGGTTTCCTCCCACAGTCCAAAGATGTGCAGGGTAGGTGGATTGGCCATGCTAAATTGCCCGTAGTGTCCAGAGATGTTTAGGTTAGGTGGGTTAGACATGGGGAAATGCAGGTTAGGGGAATGAGTCAGGGTGGGATGCTCTTCAGAGGGGTGGCGTGGACTTGTTGGGCCGAACTGCCTGTTTCCAAACTTTAGGGATTCTATGAAACTACTGGCTAGTGTGATTGGAGCGGGTTTAAACTAGAAAGGCAAGGGGCTGGGAGCCTAAATAGGGCCACAAGGGAAAGAACAAACAAGGACAGCGATTAAAGAGCAGTAAAATGCAAAAACAGTAAACAGGCTTATCGGGGCAAGAGGCTAAACAAATCACAATACAAAGAAGTTAGGATGATTAAAAATGGCTAAAAGGGAAGCTGAAAGGCTTTGTATCTGAATGCACGAAGCATTTGGAAGAAGGCAGATGAACTGACGGCACAAATCAAGACAAATGGATAGGATCTTGAGCCATTGCACAGCCACAGTTACAGGGAGATCAGAACTGGGAATTTAACATTCAGGGATATTTGACTGGTCAGAAAGGAAGGAAGGAAAAGGCAGGGTAACACTCTTTATAAAAGATAGGAGCAACCCAGATACGCAGAGGCAGCGCTCCTGACGTGACATCAGGATTGAAAAGTGACAGAGTAAACAGGAGGTGCTGATTGGACAGTGGGTGCAAACTTCTATTAATGCTTCTAGTTTGTATAGTATTTTCTTGTGTGGCCAATAGTTTGTAAGGGTTATATTCTGTTTTTACAAGGTCCAGGGAAGAAGGGCCCTGAAGTAATTGATATTATTTGATCTTAAGAGGCCTTTGAAAGGTTTAAGCCAAAGGAGTAACTCATGGTAGGAGAGGTCAAAGCCATGGTTTGCTCTTCCTGCTCTACATAGGAAGACTGGCACAATTCCAGTTTCTAGGGCCAGCATGGTGCAGGAAGTATCCCCAACTGCTGCTTCTGCAAGTTCTGGTTTCAGAGCTACAGCAATAACTGGGGATATGTTGGAGTATCTGTGAAACTGAGAGAATCGTGGATAACCTGTACACAAAGGTGGTGACACTATAGACTGACTCCACATACTGAAAGAGAATGGGTAACTACCAGGCAGAGTAAGAGGTTTAGGCAGGCAGTCCAGGAAACTCAATAGCCTCTCAGGGGAAACGAGTAACATCTGAATTTGTTGCACCATTACTGGCTTGACTGCATGAGAGAGGAGAAAGAAGGATAGGAATGTAATAGTTATGGAGGATTGCATTGTAAGGGGAACAGCTAAGTGTTTTTGTGGCTGCAAACAAAACTGCATGATGCACGTTGCCTCCCTGGAGCTAGGTCCAGGATATCTCAGTGCAGCTACAGAACATTCTGGAGAGGGAAGATGCACAAGCTAGTGGTCATGGTACACATCAGTCCCAATGCCACAGGTTTTAAAAAAAAGGATAAAGTCCTAAAAGTTAAATATAGAGATTGAGAAAGTTAATTAAAAAGTCGGACCTCAAAGGTAATAATCTCAGGATTTCTACCAGTGCCATATGCAAGTAAAAGCACAAAAAGCGGGATATATCAGCTGAATACATGGCTGGAAAAGTTGTGCAAGAAGGAGGTTTCCAGATTCCTGGGACTTGGGGACTTGTTCTCGGGCAAGATGGGACTAGTACAAAGTGGATGGGTTACACGTGGGCAGGACTGGGACTGATGTCCTAGGGAAACACCATTGAACTTCAAGACGCAGTGATCAGATGGTCTTATTGGTGATGGTCATAGCCTGGTAGTTGTGTGGGGTGAATGTTACTTGCCATTTGTCAGCCCGTGCCTGGATATTGTCCAGATCTTGCTGCATTTGAAAAACAGGCTGCTT